CACACACACACACACACACACACACACACACACACACACACACACACACACACACACACACACACACACACACACACACACACCACTAAAAAGTGGTTTAGCCCATAGCACGGACTGGCTTTATTTCTTGTTGTCAACCGATGCTGACAATTGTCCCACACAATCATTTTGAATCAATATGTGGACATTTTCAGATTTCAGCACAGGCGGTTGGTTGTTACACTCTGGAAATGGAATGAATATGAGTGTTATTAACCCGCTGGGGTCGACACGCGCCGCACCCCCGAATCACGTGACTGATTTAAGCGGACATAGCTACGAGCTGCAGACATGCTGAGTCTCCATTTCAGCTTGTGTTCAAGACTTCAAACTATATGCCAGTTTTCCATTTTATTTTATTTTATTTATTTATTTATTTTTTTTAACCTTTATTTAACCAGGAAGATCCCATTGAGAATTAAAAAATCTTTTTCAAGGGAGACCTGGCCAAGATTGGCTGCAGCAAGTGTCTCACAGTTACAGAAATTACTCAATCAAACACATGCAGCAACAACACACATGCAATACAACTTTCTAAATACTATCTTACGTTTTGTGCGGGAAGAAATGGTGAAAACCACATTTTCTAAGGACAGTGCTTGGATCATCATGTGTGCACCACCAGCTGACAGCTGCTATGAGGTAAACATGCTGCTGTGCATTTTGGACACACATCTACACTTTGGTCTCATCTGTCTGAAGGACATTGTTCCAGAAGTCTTTGTGTTTCTTGATAATGTAACTGCTGATAGAAGCAGCAGGATGATCTGTGAGGTGTACACGTCAACACTCTCTGCTCACATTCAGACTAATGCAGCACTTCCAAGTGCAGAGGGATAATGAGCCAAAGCAACAACGCCACATTTTAGGAAGATACATTTGATTTCTCTGCTTTATGTCTCAGTAAAATCCACTAATTCCAAACATTCTGTCGCCTCATTTCATGTTAAAAATGTCACAATGCCCCAGTCATTCTTAAGAGGATTATGTACAAAAATATATTTTAAAAAATCACATCTTGACTTTATTTAAAATGAGAGAACAAGTGTGTGTGTCTATGTGTTTTAGGGTTCACAATAACTCACAGGCCAATGCTATGATGCAGCAGGCCGCTGTCATCCTGCAGGTGGAGGAATCCATGCCCCTCCTGAGTCATTTCTACGACAACCAGTACATCTCCAGCCACTGCTCGCCATTGGTCGAACCCTCTGATGATGGCATCACAACAAACTTGCATTACCATGATGAGATGGGACGAATTACAGTGCAGATCAAAGTGCGTTTCTGAAGAACAAATTCTGATCTAAAGTCCTGTGCTTCAGGTTCTCATGGTATCTGTGTGTCTGCAGGAGGTTCTAGACCAGTTCTTGGTCCTGCAGCGGGAGGCGGAGACCACAGGAGGTCCACGGTGAGATTAGCAGAACTCCATCACTACTGACACTCAATTCTTCTTCATTCAGCTTCTCTAATGTGGATTCTCATTCAGAGTCCAGATGGACCAGGACCAGCAGAACCAGCAGGAGACCCAGAGGAATAAGTGCCAGCAGAGCCAGGATCTTCAAGAGGACCATGATAAACAGAATCAGAACCAGGAGAGCCAGGACAACAAAGACAAATGTCGCCAAATCCTACAGAAGCAGACCCAGGAGCTTCAGGCCTTGCGAGCAGAGCTGAAGGAGCTCCAGACTCTGGTCTTGCAGCTGGTTAAAACCAAGACCAACTCTGTATAAGAGCTGTGGGTTAGACTGGGAGGAATGTCAGAACCATTGTTTCATGTTTCTGTTTCTCCAGAATCTCCTCTGGTCCAGGACTTCCTGTTTAATTGTTATTTACAAACTCTCATAAATGAAAATACCAGTAAGAAGTTTGCTAAAGGTTCAGTGTCATTCATCTTTAGCTGGTATTTTGGTAGCCATCTTGGAATGAATGTGGACTGTTATTTGAAAATAAAGTCCCCCCCCAAAAAATAACATCACAGCGTCATTAATGGTTCAGTCCAGAGACATTAGCTGTGTCCCAATTCAGAGGCCCCATCCTCCTCAGGACCCGGCCTTCACAGTCTACGCGGGCCGGGTTCTCCGAAGACTGAGAAGGCCGTGTGCCCAGGAGATATTTTATTTTGTATTCTTATAATCAGTTATGATTGATTAATCATTTACCATTGTTGAATCAGTTGACAGAATAATCTTTGAATCACATCTATGTTACTCTGAGCAAATATTAATGCACACAGATTATCAGTACTCTAGTCAAGTTTATTGAGGCTCTGTATTATTCCTGTTATCTGTTTAAGTTGTTGCATCTCATTGCAATCACACCGTTCGGACCCACCAGTCCTGTTGGACCCAGGCCTGTCTGCGTTCAGTTCTGCACGTACGCCGGCCTGTAGCAACATGCACACAAGACACGCACGTTCACACACACACTTAGTAATAATAGGAGGGTCGTCTGAGGACAGTTTTTCTGATAGAAACACTTTCACAAAATGCACAATATAATACACACTTGTTTTTCTCTAAAAGTAGCAGTTGATGTCTATATAAGGAGAACTTTTTGAGAGGAGGGCAATTGTTATCATTTCCAGTAAAGATCTAACTGTGATGTCATCATGGCAATATAAGGATACGGGACGGTCCATTCGACAAAGGATTGTATTGCAAATTGTCTTTCCCACACTGACTGCGCAAAGTGTGTAATAAAGATCACTATTTTTGATACCTACCTCGGACTGAGCCTGCTTTCTTCTCTTACCTAAATCGAACGAACCTTAACAATTCTTGGTGCCGAAACTCCGGTTGGGGAGGAGAGGAGCTGCGGCGTGTCGTGGAGGTGACAAAGAGACGAAGGCCAGCAGCTTATCTGAGTGACGCCAGGCGCAATAAGAAAGGTGAGTAGTGCCACCTGTTGATGTTTATCCAAAGGCGCTATATTGGAAGTTAAAACTAAATTTGATTAAACAATATCCACTCAGTATAGGCTTCTGGCGTTGGTCCATAGTGATCTTGAGTAATTAGTTTTAAAATAGGGCATATTGGTCTGACTAAATTTATTGCTGTTTATTTTGGGGGTGAATTTTGAGCTAAGAGGTTATATGTGTTTAAGACAATACGGTTTAAAGTGTTTAAAGAAGAGGTGGGTTGACTGGATGCCAGCCAGTCGCTCGGTAGTGTAGGGAATTTGGTTTTTATTGATCAGCAGAAACGCGGTTTCGGGCGTCAGGTAATTAAACTGGGGGGGCAGAGTGCCCACAGTGAGGCTTTTAAAACAACTAAATGTTTTTAGGACTGGGGGCGGGATCCCCTAAGAGCGCAGTTGCTCAGCGCCGTGGCGGCGACTCCTGATCGTGGACGCATGGTTAGGTTATTGCCCGGTTGGTTGCCGGGGGAGGTCGAGCACCCCGAAGAACCAAAGTGGTCGACGGAGATCACTTTCCTTACTGCGCTAGATTGATTGACAGAGTCGGACTCGCCTGCCCCTGTTAACGTCAAGGACCTGTGAACTTTAAGTAAAGCCAAAAGCGTGATCTGTGATAGGTTACGCGGCAGGTGGAGCTCCTGGTTTTTTTGACGAGGAGCAGGTATGAATTAATTAGAGCTTAGGAATCTGACCGCTTGTCTGAGAGGGCGTTCTCGGAGCGTTTAATTGATCAGCAAGGCGCGGCCTGGGCTTACAGCTTTTAAATTAGTCTAAAAGTTAGGAATACCGGTATAGAAATAGAGGAATAAAGATAAGCTGTTCTGGCATATGGTGTTTTCTTATGTCTATGCGGGCCTGTGTGTATATAGAATATAAATTACCCGTGTGTGTGAATTTAAAAGTGTAAACTGTATAAACTGTCTTTTGTTGTTGAATTTCCTCTGTGTGGATCCAGAGTGTGAGAAAACTAAAACGCCTTTCTCTTCTCTCGCTGTTAGAGAAGAGGACAGTGAGTGTGTGTGTGTATTTCTTCTTAGGAGAAAGAAGGGGCTGTGTGGTGCTGTGCGGTAGCGGGCACGCGCGCGAGTATGAGCGGGGTGTGTGTGTATAGCTGCGGCCTTGGTTTCATCTCCCTATTTCTCCATTTCTGTGCTTCTGAGCTTCTTTTTGGTTAGGTGAAAGTGGGTTTCAGAAGTGTGGTTAAAAGATTTCAGTATATTAAATAAACTAAACTTTGTAGTCTTGCGTTTGTGATTTCCTAATGTGAGTATGGTTTAATGGAATTTCATGAGTAATGATCTCTTGTGTAAAACTCCCGTAAAGTAGGAGTGTGTTGCTAAATATATCGGTGAAAATTGAGAACTTTGCGTGATTGCTGGGAGATTTTCTAGTTGGGTCGTATTTCCTTCTCTACCTGGAAAAGGCAGAGATCTGTGCTTTATTTGATGTTGTGTATATAAAGTCTTTTAAAGGTTGGTTGAGTCTCTCGTTATAAGGAAGGAAAACGGCGTGCATAGTAGATTGTCTGGATTATTTTCATGTGTGAAAACTTTGTAGTTGTTAGGGAAGTGAATGTGAGAGTGAATTTTCGTTGGCTTTGTGTGCTTAAAACTGTGTATTAGACGTTTGTGAAGCTTCTCTCTTGAAAGGAGAATTAGAGAGTGTGTGTGTGTGTGTGTCTGTGGGCGGTCTCTCTCTCTCAGGCTGGAGCCTAGCGGAAGTTCGGCTTGACCAGCTTGTGAGATTCTGACTGCCGAAAGGGAAATACAGCGAGGCAACCCCAAAGGGAGGAGCCTAAGACCGGCCATTTTGGTAAGGTAAGTGAGGTCAAAAAGCAAAATGGCTGAAGAGGAAAAGGCGACCCCTGGTGGGGGAAAGAGATACAAGCCACTGAAGGAGCAATTACAGCAATTGAAGAAAGCAATTAAAATGACTGAAGGGACTTCTTCAAAAGAGATTGCTCGTCAGTGTCAAGATTTAGAAAAGAAGTGAAGGAATTATGTGAAAATCAACAGAAGACACTGGAGGACAGAATCCCTCTGCATTCCATCTTTCAACGGGAAGGTGAGAAATGTGAGAAGAGGATTAAGGAGCTTGAAGAGGAATCCTTAGGACGTTTTCAGGGGAGGAAAATAAAGGCTGAAAAGAAACGTATGATGGAAAAACAAAGTAAGTATTGCAAGCTTATGATTGTCTCCCAAGGTGTTTCTCACTGGATGCAAGAGGAAGCGAACGACATCAAGCCAGCCTTAAAAAAGGAAGCTGAGGCTGAGGGAAGGTTATATCCCAGCCTGAAGGACTTCCTGAGTAGGGCTGGGTATCGTCACTGATTTCTAGAATCGATTCAATTCCGATTCACAAGGTCCCGAATCGATTCGATCCACGATTCGATTTAATTCGTTTAATTCGATTCGATTTAAATCTGGGAAATTTTGACAGTCAGAAATATTATAATTCAGATCAGTACATTTACATATTTTTGTATCAATAAAAAGGAAGCTGACACACGCAAGACTTTATCACAGGTGTGAGCTCACAGCAGATGCCTTTGTGTCAAAGTAGCTGAAGATAAAACACAGAAAAACATGAAGGTGATTTTCCTGGCCTGGGATTTTATAAAAATATTCTGCAGTACATCAAAAACGAAAGAAAACCATTAATCAACATATGAACATTACCTCTGACGTTACAGCGGTTTTATTAGAGACACGGCTAAGCGTTTTGCATTTTGAATAATTTTAAAAAGTTTAAATTTGTTCAGTATTGAACGGCAGAAATGAGGTTTTCTTTTCGGAAGAATGTAAAAGGGAAAAAAACAGCGGCCGACAGCGCTGTAAACAACGGTAGACTTGTGCGTAACAAGCAAGCGAATAATGAAGAAAGGGAAACTGTTCTTGAAGTACAGAGAGAGAGAGAGAGTAAAAGTCAGAGTGAATTCATGACGATGTTTATGTGAAGCGTTTGGATCTTCTTTTGCTGCTGGTTCGGTCAATATTGTTTGGAGAGAGATCAAACTAACAGCTTTAGAATCAGCGCATAAAGGGCGTGAACACAAAGCGCGGACCCGCCGACAGATCAGAATCAGCGAGCTGTCGGCTTTCAGCCCCGACCGTGAGAAAGGCGACATCTAACTGATTCTGATCCGCGGGTCGACGCTGTGTGTTTAAGTCTATGTGCAGAATCCGTGTACCTGCTCTCATTTACTGTCTTAACTGTTTGGTGGTTCTTGAAATTTTGTGAGATGTCACCAGAGATTCTGGCATTTCGGGCAAAATAAATTTATATTAAAAAAATCGATTCAGGATTTTAATGAATCGATTTTACGTTATCCAAGCCAGAATCGATTTTAATCGATGAATCGATTATAAAAACCCACCCTAAGGACTTCCTGAGTGCCCCACCCCCTCCTTATATTTGTCCAGTGGTGACTTTGGAGGGTGGCAACATGTGGGGGCCGGAAGGAAAAACAGGAATAGTGACAGGTGAAATTGTCAATCTACAGGAGAATCCTATACCATCGACATCTGCTCCGGCCACAGTGGAGGCAGACACAGGAGTAGTGCAGCCTCAATCAGCAGCAGCTGCATCAGAGGTAAGTCAGCCCCACCCAGTTGCTGGGACATCACAAGGAATCACTACACGGGGGTTGATCTCCATCCCTCCCTCTCTTTTTAGCCCAGATAGAGCTACAGAAGAAGCTCAACCTGTGGCTTCTACAAGTACAGGTCAGGTGACACCGCAACAGCCCAGCCAAGAAAATCCATCCCAGGAGGCCTGGACTTCAGAGGAAGATTCACCTTCACTGCAGTATCAGAGGGCGCCGTTAAAGGCGACCCAAAAAGCCAATCAGAGGTCAACGGTTGACAATCCTGAGAAAGAACAGTGGCAAGGCCACGTTTTTGGGAAAGAATCTGACAATCGGGAGGCCGTAATAAAGCTGGAACGTCTCTTGAAAAAACTGGAGGAGGAAGGCGTAGCAACACCACGTAGCGTAGCACAAACACTTGATGCATTGGAAAAGGACTTGGCGGCCTCAGCAAATCAATCGCGTAAATCTAGAGAAGTGGCAAAGCTGGAAAGGGGAGCACTTGCCCCAAACTTTCAGGGTCTCCCAGGAAGGACGACCCTTCGCTCTGGGAGGGTTCTGGAGGAACCAAGAGATAAAAGACCGTCTATCTTTGAAAAGAATCGGAGGAAGACTGTTGCATTGCAAACCGGAGAACGGCAGTGTGACGCAGAGGAGGAATTGCCCCTCACAATGCCTTTACTGACGGGTGTACGGGGCGAACCAGTCTACCACCCGTATAATATCAGAGATCTTGAGGCTCTGGTGAAGCAGCTGCCCCCAATTACAGAGGGAGGAGCGGCTTGGTTGAGGAGACTAGGAAGTCTTACAGAAGGAGAAGAATTGGCCCTGGGGGATTTCCGAGCTATCGGTGGGAGGACCTTCAGAGGAGGAGGCCTCGCCGATGTGGAAGAGATAGCAAGAACTGTATGTCAACCAAACGATCTCCCCTACGCAAGGGTGCGAAATGCTCTCTCTGACGCAGTGCATGAGAAGTATCCGACCCATAACATTGGCACTACACCTAGGATTGTTTGGAGCCCAGAACATTCCCCTAGAGAGTTTATGGAGCATGCAAAAGAACAGTGGATTCTTCAAACTGGAGAACATCCTGGGCAGAATGGTGAACTAAGGGCGTGGTTCCGATCTGCAGTGTTAGCAGGTCTCCCAGAACGAGTAAGAACAGACTTACAAAAGAATCCAGCAAACACTGAAAACGTCACCCGAATCTACTGAGTTAGCATGCACCACAGGCTGAGCACCCCGAGTCAGGGGTAATGAGGAAAATGACACAGCATCAATTAAA